TTACAAGATATAACCTATGGAAAAATAATTGCAACTATTAAAAATACTGCTTTAGAAATATGTAATAATCTAAAATTAGAAAAACAAGTTAAAAGACAACAAGAAAGTGGTACTAAAGAATTAAGAGATTTTTGTATACAATACGGATACGAAAGATTAGATCCTCCGTCTAGGAAAAATAAGAAAAAACAAATAATTAAAAGAAAAATCTCCCAGAATAATAATAGGAATTTCCCTAGAAATTTTAAAAGAAAAATAAAAACAAGCCCCTCTGCAAATAATAATCAATCCAATCCTAAAAAAGGAATAGTCTGCTATAAATGTGGAAGATACAGACACATGAAAAAAGATTGTAGAGTAAAAGAAAGAATACAAAATTTAGATATGAGTGAAGAAACTAAAAATCAAATAACAAAAATATTGTTATATGAGTCGAGAGGAAGATATTAATAATATAATAGAACCTAACAGTGAGTGAAGAGGAATCTACTACCAATTTGAGTGAAAACGAGGATGAAGAAAATTGTGATTGCATATTTAATATAAATGTTCTAACTATCGAAACTAAAATAACCCTAGAAATGGTAGATAAACTTTCAAATGAAGAAGATAAGTTAGAATATTTAACCAGATTAAAAACATTAATATTAAGTGAAAAAGAAACGAAACGAGTACAAAATGAAGTAAGTGGTTACGATTTTTCTAAAATATTACGAAAAGCCATAAATAAAGAAAAACCTGTAAAAATACAAGACTTACAAAAAGAAGTAAGCCTTTTAAAAGAAGAAATTAAAGAAATAAAACTTCAATTAGTAGAATTAAAGATAAAAAATGAAATACAAGAGGAAAAAATAAAAATTATAAATAATAAAGAACCCTTAAAAACCGAATCAACCTCCGAAACGGTTAATCAAATAAAAATTCTACAACAAAAATGGCATATAAAAGCAACATTAAAGATTGGAAATAGTTTTCATAAACAATTTACGACTTTGGTAGATTCTGGAGGTGATATAAATTGTATAAGAGAAGGGTTAATACCTACAAAATTCTATGAAAAAACTCTACAAACCTTAAGGACGACTAACTCTGAAAGACTAAAGGTAAAATATAAATTATCAAATGCAAGTATATGTAATAAAGGCACTTGTTTTAAAAATATTTTTATATTAACTCCGACATTAGCGAAGAAATGATATTAGGAACTCCATTTTTAGCCACTAATCTACCCCTTTGAAGTGTCAGAACAAGGAATAAGCCATACAAATCTTTTATTCGAATTTATTAAACCAATAAAAAATAAAGAAATACTATTAGTAAATGATGTAAATGAAGAAAACTTTCTACTAAAAATAGAAGCTAAAACTACTCATATAAACTATTTAAAATAAGAAATAACATACAAAAGAATAGAAGAACAATTAAAAAATCCTGAAGTAATAAAAAACTTTAAAAATATAGAACAAGAAATAATAAAAGAAGTATGTGCGAAGTTCCTACTGCTTTTTGGAATAGAAATACTTTCGAAATAGAATTACCATATGAAGAAGGATTTTCAGAAAAAAATATTCCTACAAAAGCCAAACCAGTACAATTAAACAAAGAAACCTTAGAATACTGCAGAAAAGAAATAAAATCTTTTTTAGATAAAAAACTTATTAGACCAAGTAAATCGCCTTGGAGTTGTGCTGCATTTTATGTGCAAAATGCCTCCGAAATAGAAAGAGGAGAACCAAGAATGGTAATAAACTATAAACCTCTAAATAAAGTATTAAAATGGATAAGATACCCTCTACCAAATAAAACCGAATTAATAAGCGAGAATTTATAAAACCACTATATTTTCTAAATTTGATATGAAAAGTGGATATTATCAAATCAAATTAAAAGAAGAAGATAAATATAAAACCGCTTTCATTGTACCTTTTGGGCAATACGAATGGAACGTAATGCCTATGGGATTAAAAAATGCGCCTTGAGAATTCCAAAAAATAATGAATGATATACTAAATCCATACTCAAAATTTTCCATTGTCTACATTGACGATGTATTAATATTTTCTGAAACCATAGAACAACATAAAAAACATTTAAAAATATTTAATATAAAGTAAATGGAATGGTAATATCACAAAAGAAAATAAAATTAGCACAAACACAGATTAGGTTTTTAGGTCATGAGATAAACCAAGGAACCATAACTCCTATTAAACGTAGTATTGAATTTGCAGAAAAATTTCCCAATGAAATAAAAGATAAATTACAATTACAAAGATTTGTAGGATGCTTAAATTATGTAGCAGAATTTATACCTAATATTAGAATAATATGTAAACCACTTTTTAATAGGTTGAGAAAAAACCCTAAACCTTGGACCCTTGAAATGACGAACATAGTAATAGAAGTTAAAAAATTAGTCAAGACCCTACCTTGTTTAGGAATACCTAATCCAGATGCAAAAATAATTATAGAAGCTGATGCCTCCGACTTAGGATACGGAGGTATATTAAAACAACACTTATCTAATACTCCAGAACAAATAGTAAGATACCACTCGGGAATATGGAATGAAGCACAAAGAAATTATAGCACTATTAAAAAAGAAGTTTTAAGCATAGTTTTAAATATACAAAAATTTCAACATGATCTAATAAACAAAAAATTTCTATTAAGAATTGATTGCAAATCGGCAAAAGAAGTTTTAGAAAAAGATGTGAAAAATATAGTTTCAAAACAAATATTTGCCAGATGACAGAGTTTATTATCTTGTTTCGAATTTGATATCGAATTTATAAAAGGAAAAGAGAATTCTATTCCAGATTTTCTAACAAGAGAATTTTTGCAGGGTCACTCCCATGGCAACCCCTTCTAAAAACCGAATACCCGAGAAAAGAATAAACCAGAAAATCCTAAGTCATCTACATTATCCTTAGATGACTTTGCCCCTTCATATTCGAAAACAATAACCACCCGCAAACTTCCTACTTCAATAACTACTCCCCCTAATAGGTTTACTCCTTTAACCCCACGAAAAACCCAGAATACTCCCCAGAAATAATTCGAAAAAAGAGTTTCACATTAAAGAAGGATGTCAAAAGATAGTCACCGTAGAAGAAGATTGGAATACTGAAGACATATATGGAATACTTGAAAAAACTAGCTCCTGCAGGATGGAGTTGGATTCCCAAATCGAGAAAATTTAAAGAAAACCAAGAAATTTTATCAATTTATTTTAATAGACATCGGCTCATGAAAATAACCCCCATCCCTAATGATAGAGATCCCTCTATTATTAGTTACTCAAAATTAAGAATAATCAAAATCATTTCATACCAAGAGTGGAATCAACATCCATTCACCGATAAGAGCTTTTCGAGGCCCTTTGACCCCCCATCATATAATATTACTTTGACTATCAAGAAACCTGGAACAAAATACTTTTTGACACCAATCCTAGGCATTCTTGGTACATATGTTTTAAAAAAGAAATACCCAATTCATTACCCAATTGGTTCCTTGATTGGTTTAATCAAATAGGACCGGTTCAGTCCATAATACCCGACAAGGTCATGAAGATATATCAGAAATATAAAACCCTTACTCCTCAATACCCTCCATATCTTCGAATAATAAAATTCTGTTCAACAATGGGAATAAGCTGGCTTTTGGCCCACATTCCTGAAATCCATCAGCATAAGGACGAGACCTATCCAAAAACGCTTTGCTTAAAAACCAAAGTTTTTTGGTGGAAAAAATTCGAAGTCCAATATGTAGAAGAAAAGTTCGAAAATTGGAAGAAAATGGGCCTCATCCGAAGTCCAATACCAAAAGATATTCCCTCCTTAAAAGACAAAGGAAAATCTATTATAGACTTATCACACCTCCCATCGTCAAAAATAGAAAAGGCCCAATTAAAATTAAAAATGCTAGAAGCCTTATCATCCTTGGGATCAGATGAAGAAGAAGAAGAAGATGAAGCCATCAGTAATATTCAAGATGCACAAGACCCGTATGAAGAAGAAGAAGTTGATTTTAATCAATTCTAGCAACTAATTCCGTCAACAGAAATTCAAAGAAAAATTGATGCTATCATGAAAAGATTAGAAGAAGACCCACACGAAATATCCTTCTAAGGCATCTCAGTAAGAAGTTGGGCTTATCAGGCCCATCGCCCAAAAGATGCTAAAGTCACCTCCTTCAGAAAGAAGATTCTCTACGTCAAAAGAAAATGACCCTACCAAAGGAAAAGCAAAAACATTATAATTATGAAGTTTTGTTTTTAGCGTCGGCCGCCGAAAGTAAAGGTGTGCCAGTTGTAATTTTCTTTCCCCTGTAATTATGTTCTTGGTCGGCCACTTGTTAATAGTGTGCCAGTTGTAAAATAGAATAGGAACCAACTAGGAACTTTTCAAGGCCTATAAAAGAGTTAGTTGCTGAAGTAGAATTTACAGCTCTCTTATAGCCTTAAACTCTACTTTCCTCGACCAACTCCTTCATAGCCTAAGTTCCCAGCCTTCCCTCGTTCTCTCACGAATAATCTGAATATTATAAGCTTTTGATTGTAATATTAAAAAGTCTTTTCTTCTATATTTCTTCTCTCTTCTCTTCCGCTTTTAAATGCAGCATTATGATATATATATATATATATATATATATATATATATTTATTTCCGGTTCTCCGAAAATCTGACTGCATTTCTGTTCAGAATTCGGGAATCGAATTCGTGTACAGTAAATAAGTCTTGGATAAAAATAAAGTGGGAGGGAATCTATTTTTGTAAATAATAACTTTTTTAATATTATTTTCGAAAAAAAATCCCACAACAATAACTGCAGCTGATTTTTTTAGGTACCTAACTAACCTCAATCTTTCTTTTCATATATTTTCTTTGCTTTTTAAACAGGAAATCGTCAGAGGAAAAAAAAATGAGGAATGGATACGGATCCTGATCCTGTGGACTCTCCTGTCATCATTTTGGTTCACTACTGATCCGGTAAGGATGAGCAGCGGCGAAGGAAAGGTGGTGTGTGTGACAGGTGGTTCTGGTTTCATCGCTTCGTGGATCGTCAAATTTCTTCTCGAACGTGGTTACACAGTCCGGACCACAGTTCGTAACCCTAGTAAGTTCCATCCATCCCCATTCCCTATCTCTTGCATTCATTATTATCAATTAATCGTTCTTACGAATGAATGAATGTGTATGGTGTTATATGATATGCAGGTAATCCGAAAAAGGTGTCACACTTGGCTAACCTTGAGGGCGCAAAAGAGAGGCTGCATCTGTTTAAGGCAGATTTGTTGGAAGAAGGTTCCTTCGACTCCGCTGTGGAAGGCTGCGAAGGTGTTTTTCACACTGCTTCACCTGTTCGTTTCGTAGTCAAAGATCCACAGGTTGTAATAGTTCGTGACAATTATCTCTTCATTTTCTTACAAGCTATATATTTCCAATACATTAAATACTTTTTTTTTTAATTTCTGTCTGAATATTTACTTTTTATATAATATTGCCTGGACTAAATATTTTGCGATTATGACATTATGTTAAGGATAATCATTTGAATTGATTTTTTGATATATTATTATCATTATAATAAAAACCTATAGAGTATAAATTGTTTATCATAAATCTAAAATATAAATTGTTTATTATAAATTTTAATATAAATTAACCTGTTTTTTTAACACTTATTCTTAATATCTTAAAATAAATTATCAATAGTAAAAATAGCACTGTATCAAGTTTATTATCAAAGTTAAAATTTATATGTCTAAATTACTTATTTATTATAAAAGTTAATATGATATAATCAAGATTATTTATTGATTATAAACTTAGTTTATATGTCCACAATAAATGTTTATTATGGATTTTAATATAGTATAGTTTATTATTTAAAATATATATTTTTAAAATAAACACTTATTCTGTCTAAACTGCTAGTTTTATGGAAATTTAGTGAAGAGAATGCATAGCTGGAGGATAAGTTGTTCTCTCTCCTGCACAAAACTAATAATAAGGACATTAGCGATGTAAGGATCCCAGTTTGTGTCTGCGGTTAAAAGGTCAATGCACTGTTATTCATTTATAAATAAAGTTTTTTTCTGGTTCGTGTTGTCGATGATATATATGGATGGTAGATCATGTGACTCTCTAAGCTGCATTGCTTTTTTGAAACGCTCGAAATTTTAAAATGTTTGTAGTATTGATTGGAAATTACCTTTTTGCTGACATTTCTAAATGGATCATTGCTTGTTTTAATATTAACTGGAAAATTTGCCTGTCTATCCTCTGTTATTTCAGGCTGACTTGATTGATCCAGCTGTGAAGGGAACTCTTAATGTTCTCAAATCATGTGCAAAATCACCATCTGTGAAGCGGGTTGTGTTCACTTCTTCTACTGCTGCAGTGGTATATAGTGGAAAACCTAAAACTCCTGAAGTACTGGTTGATGAGACATGGTTTTCAAGTGCTGATATCTGTCGGGAATTAAAGGTTTGTAATATCTTTACTAAAATTTATTTAGAAATGAAAACCCTGAAGTCCATGCAGGTGGAATGTGTTTTTGATGTGGTTTGATCAATGATAGAAATTGAACTACATGTTCTTTTTATCCAACAAGGAACAGAGTAAAAGATACCTGCTAACCTTAGAATAATATTGCCTGAAACAGTCTTGCATTTTTATGTTTATCTCAATTTTTTTTTACCTTAAATATCCTTCTGATTGTTGAAAATTGTTTCTTTTACCACCGCTAACCCTACTACAGCTGTACAATGAATAGGAGAAAATAAATGATAGAAAAAAACCTTAACATTATTGTTATGGTGTGAAAATCGAATGATATAACTGGATATCTATGTTGAGAATTGATTTTCTGTTTTAACTTTTCAAACTCATAATCCCTGATTTTTTTGCCTAAATATTTGTTTTAAACAAAATTCATAATTCTTTACTTAAAATATTTTGCTTAAATAAAATATCCAAACTAAATTTAAATCTAATATTTAATTTTATTCAATAAAACTCCTCTATAAAATTAATTGTTTCTCATCAACTAACTAAGATCGGTTAAAGACTCATCTGACCAATTTAACTACTTCTTTCATCCTTCATTCCAAGTTCGACTTCTTGTTAATCCTTCATCTTTCTTCTTCTTAAATACCAGCTTCACACTAATAGGTTGAGCATAGCTCAACCATTCAATCATCGCTCACGTGTCGTTGCGTTCTATAACTTAACTTGGATATTTTCATACATAAGAACTCGTCTCTTAATCATTTTCCTACACTTTACAACTCTAATATACTTCTACTTTTTTATACTCACCTTTGTACGCTTGTCTGTCAAAGTAGTTTTATTCGAAAAAGAATAAAATGATGATCGAGTTTGGACAGGGTCACTTCGAAATCTCCTATTTGAACTTAGTTTGATCAAGTTTGGCTTTGGCCAGGAAAAAGTGGGAGATCCACAATCTACTAACTTTGTTATTTCTCTCTACTTTATTCATCATTAGATCTTGGTTTTCATCATGACCAACATCTTGATCATCACCATGAATCAACTTGGTTAAACCACAAAAATGTAGGTGGCCAAATTGATGATCCCTCTTTATGTTAAACTTCAAGCATCTCTCATGAATGCTTCTCAAGTTCAACTTATGCATTCTGTTCTTCTACATCTCAACTTAGGCAATCATCCTTCCAAACTTGTCCTTCAATTGTAATACTTGGTCTTTCATGAATACCGAGTAACTTCTCTTTATTAGTTGTCTTATACTCAAAATGTTACTTTGAGGTCAGGAACATAGTAGTACACATCTTGGATCGACTCGATTAGGTCATCCTTCTCTAAGTAATGGATCATACCTTCACCTTTTGCCAAGACTTTTGAGACATGTCTAAACGAACTCATTTGACTCGATCATCGCCATTTGATGCTCTCTCTCCAACACATTTTGTGCTTCTTTTGAAGTTTTAACTCAAACCCAGATTCATCGACAATTCGGTACAACATGTATAAGGTTGTTTTTTTCTTCGCACACTTTTCTTTTAACATTTTGTTTGCTACTGCTAAAATTCCTTAGTTGCTTTCTGGTTCTTCAAAACCATACTTGACTATCTTTCAATTATCTTGGGATCCTAGAAGGATCTTCATCTGGAGATACCAATTAACATAGTTGGCTACTTTTGTCAACCAGGACAAGGTCATACTGATTACTAAACTAATCATCACTTTCTTTAAACTTTCTCACGTCCAATTACTCAAATCTTAATATCAATTTGATAATAAGGAGATGGTGAAAATTGAATATTATTGCTAATATATTAAATGAGACAACTGGATATTTATAGGCTCAGAATTGACTTTTTGTTTTAATTTTTCAAATTCGTAATCCCTAATATTTTACCTCAAATATCTACTTAAACAAAATATTCAAACTAATATTTAAATTTATCTACCAATAAATATAACCCCGAAAGCAGTGACCACAGTTGTAGTTAAACGAGGAAAAGAGGGATTTAAAAAGTGCAAAGGTGATTCTTTCCCTTTTACGAAATTCAATGGTCACTAGATCAATCAAGTCAACTGAGTCTTGAAGGATATACCTTTTTATTTGTTTCGTTTTAGTAGGACAAAATGTTATTGGGTATTGCATAAATCATTTGTGTTAGAGGATCTTGGTGCAGGTCATGCATCAGACGTTAAATGAATTATTATTGACATGTTAAATTCATTTCATTTTATACGTAATATTGTTCTATGTAATATTGCTCAATAAAACCTAAGTACTGGATAACAAAATTATCAACCAACAATTCTTCCTCTCTCTCTCACTCACTCCCCCCACGGGCCACGCACTATTTGTCTTTTTTCTCTCCCCCATAGATTCAACATTTAAGATAGTGGTGGATGTTCTTAGCTGCGTAGTATCTCTAGGGCATTGAAATAGGTCCTTTTAAAGAAATTCGATTGGGTTCCGACGATAGTCCTTCCCAGTGACAATCTCTTGGTCCATTCTTTTTAGGAGTCTGTCATTAGAGTGATCACCAAGTACAAGTATATACCGAACACGGTTATTTGGTTTAGTTTGGTTAACTGCATTAGTTAGTTTCCAAGATTGATTCATTAGTCAATTACTTTAATTGGTAAAAGTAATGTGACGCAAGCGCTCATGATATTGTAACTAATTTTTATCACTCAATTTCAGTTTCTTCTCTTGTCAATCTTCTTTCAGTTTTGTCTCCTTCGTACCATGTTTCCCCATGAGACAAATATGCTTTAAAAGGGAGAATGAGACAGTAATAAATTTCAACATTATTCAACTGTTTTGTACAGTCAATCTTGTATTTAGTATACAATCGCTATTGAGTTGTAAGTCAATCTCTAATATATTTGTTTCAACATGCTCTAACTATGTCTTGTATAGTATGTTACCATGCTCGCTAATTTTCTTGCCATTTCTTTATTGTGTCTTCAGATGTGGTACCATCTTTCAAAGACTTTGGCTGAGAATGCTGCCTGGAATTTTGTAAATGAAAACAACATCGACATGATTACTATTAACCCAGGAATGGTGGCAGGAAAATTGTTACAACCAGAGATTAATGAAAGCGTTGAGTATATTTTAAACGTAATAAATGGTAATTTGTATTTACTCTTCCAGTTATGCTTTATGAAAATTTTGCTATCTCCTTTTCCTGCATCTGGATTTCTGGATTACGTGTGTTCCAATACTGAATTGGTTTTGCTGTGCCAATCGAAATAGAAAAGAGAAACAGAAAATTTGGAAAATATGAAATAATATAAGAAAATGGAGATATGATAACTACAATTCTTAGGTGAACTTTATGGTTAAGGCATGTGCATTTAAATCATAATAAGTTCATTTGCACATGTTTGGACGGGCCTCTCCATAAAATCTTTTTAAGCGAGAAAAATAAGAAGAAAAATTGAAATTAATTTCTCATTTAGTTAATTTGTAAAAACGCTCTCATATAACTTTAAATTTTTAATTCTTACGTGTGTATAAGCTAATTTTATCTTATTAAAGAGTTTTTTTTCTCTTATTTGCCTTTCTTAAAAAAGCTTATGGAGAAGCTGGTTTAAACATGTCTCTATTATCATGCTTCAATAAGTATTAGTTCTGAATATATTCTAGCTTTATTAATGTTTACTGTTTAGTGGTCTCTAATTTAATGTGAACGAGACACAATAAACATTACCAGATACGTTTTATGCTTTTATCTTGGAGTTTTCACGAGTATATTTGGTCGGATTGGGGAAAATAAATCCAAACCAGTCAATTTTAATTGGTTTGAATTGCTTCAAATTTTCCGAAAGCTTTTGTCCAATCTGAATCAAATCAATTTGATCAAGAACATGTTAGTTCAATTTGGATTAATCAGATGTTCTCTTATGCCATTGTGATTTTTTTTTAAATTACATTAAATAATAGCAAAAAGTACAAAAAAAAATTATTGTACTATAAAATCTCATGCATGATAAATAATTTTATAATTATTTCACATTATTAATTTGGTTTGAATTCATCGGATTTGTTGATTACAAATTTAATACCCAAACCAACTATCAACCAATCTTATTGGTTTGGTTTATATTAGATTGAATTAGGTTAAATTTTGAAATTAGGATACCCAAATCACGGTAGGCTCTAGGCAAGGCTTCGTATGGGTGACCACATTCAATTTGGTCAAGGGTAGAAATTAGGATACCTTCAGCTTAAAAGAACTCTCAAGTTCCTCTGCAGTATGACAAATATATCCACTTAAGAACCATCGTTTGTCACCCACAAAGAAGATTGACAAACCATCTAATTCTATGTTACTTTGAGGATGATGGAGCAAAGGATTAGTTTACTAAATAAATCTTAGGTTCTTCTTGAAAAGAAAATGACAATAGTATAACCAGATAAGTCAAAATTAAAAAAAATAATTTATCCGAACTAAGATTTATTAGAATTGAATTTTGTAAGACTTTGAATCAACTTAGTCGAGCCATGTGAGGATCTAGAATCAATAGGCCGAGTTATATGAAAATTTGAAATCAATCTGGATTCTAAAAAATGTTGGAATAGAAGAGTGTAGCTGATAGTTAAATTAATATATAAATAAAGTAACTTGAAAATAATAATCATAAGTCCTCTATATTAATTATCAATTATCTTATTTTTGTGCAACTGAAAAATTAAGATAATTGATTGAGAATTATTGTCTCATAAAAAAGTTGATTTTAACTTTCAAGAAAACGAACTAGCACACCTTGCAATATTACAATATTACATTGTATTAATATTTTGATTCTGGAAAGATTGTTGTTTTATCAGTTTAATCCTTCAAACTTTAATTTAAAAATTTGCTCCAGTCGAGAACGTTTATGGAATAAATAAACACGAATTTAGTCGAGAACTGAATTTTCTTGGGACAGATTTGAAGAATGGTGTAGTCAATTGATATGAATAATCTTTAAACGAATAAATTCTTACAAAATAAATCTTCGGACAAATATGACAATTTGGTCTTCATCATTATTTTACTTAGTAATTGGTGTTTGTTTTATCGTATGTGTCGTGTTTAATGAATTAATATTAATATCTGGAGAGAAAAGGTAAAGATAAAAAATTGAGTAGAAAATCTTATATTTGAAAACTTCAGAAATGAGTGTCACGGTGGGAGAAACGATTTTGTATATTTGCCAAACTCTTAACTCTTTAACTCTTTAACTTGTTTTTAACGTAGGTAAACCAATTCCAAATCAAGCTTTTGGATGGGTCGATGTGAAAGATGTTGCCAAGGCTCATATTCTGGCATATGAGAATGCTTCAGCTAGTGGAAGATACTGTTTGACTGAGAGAGTCATACACGCATCTGAACTTGCAAGGATTTTACGTGATCTGTACCCCACATTCCATATTCCAGACAAGTAAGTTTAACATGAATTGGGATCCCATTTATTGAAACTTTCTATGCAGTGCTTTTCTGGCTTGTTAACTCAACTCAAGCTGAAAATGGAAAGATTCTTCACTGAAATTAGCTTTCAGTTGGGATAAAGCTTTATCTATAACAGAAGAAAATAAGGTGATAAAATTAATCAAACTTCTCTTATAGTTAAATTAATCTACGTACTTCAACTTTTCCAAAAATGAGGTATATATATAACTTTGGTATTTAGTTACAAAACAAATTTGTATTTCTTTAATAGTAAAGATATACACTTCCTCAAATCTTATGCATTGTTATCAGGTGTGAGGGGGATGCGCCATATGTGTCAACATACCAGATCTCCAAAGAAAAAGCAAAGAGCTTGGGAATAGAGTTTACTCCTTTGGAACTGAGTGTCAGGGAGACCGTGGAACACTTAAGGGAAAAGAATATTGTCAACTTTTAATCCATGATAAATCCTAGATGATTAAATAAATGTTTAAGATCTGAACCATGTTTAGTTTGTGATTATGATAAACTTACTTAATCATAAACTAATGGTTGGCTAATTTAAGTTTGAATGAATTTGCCAAAGAGAACCACGAATTTGGTTTTTTTTCTTGCCCTTTTCATTCTGTTTTACAGTAAAGAATATATATGGTGAGAAGATAATAAAAAACTAAGATTTATATCATTGTTTTATTTTGTATTTAATGACAATCTAAAATATTGATTTTTCGAACTTTCTATTTGGATAATTAGATTAGTTAATTGTATATTTGGTTTACTTTGCTTCTAGAAAAATAATATTTTTTTATAATTTAAAAAAAAATCATTATTTATTCTTTCATTGTAAATTTAACCTCTCATTTGAATGATTTTTGTTAACATATAGTCTGTGACAATGTTTTTTGGTAGTTTTTTTTTTCGAGAAAAGATTTTCTCTAATTCTAACAAGAGTATTTAATTTTTTATGATTTTTTTCCCTTAACTTTTTTATCTATTTATAAATTATTCATTTGAAATCTAAAAAGTATTTTATATATTTAAAAATATTAATTTATTATAAATTTTAATTATGATAAAATTTACTCGTGTTTTAACCTCTGCGTCGTTGAAAAAAATGAATGTTTATTTTATCTAATTAAATTTATAATAAATAAATTTTATATTTACAATAAAGAATTTATATTATGGTAATATGATTTTAACTATTGATAATTTTACAAATATATTAAAATTAAAATTTTAGTTAAAACTATGATATATTGAATAGTATGTTCAGACAATTCTCTGAAAACTATTTTTGTTTAAAATTTAAAAATAATTATTTTAATTTTTATACATGCGGAGAGATATATATAATTAATTTATTATCGAACTTGGTTCTATAAAATGAAGATTAATTTGTGGATAACGAACCTGTAATGGTTTTGATTGGGTTGGAGTAAGATGAGGAGTGGCGTAGGGAAGGTAGTTTGCGTCACCGGTGCTTCTGGTTTCATTGCTTCTTGGATAGTCAAATTCCTTCTTCAACATGGTTACACTGTCAGAGCCACTGTTCGCGATCCGAGTCAGTTCCATCTCAATCCCTAATCCCTATATTAATTAGTATGAATATGAACATGAATATGATATGTGCATGGTATGGTATGGTTATGTAGGTAATCCGAAAAAGGTGTCACATTTGGCTAACCTTGAGGGCGCGAAAGAGAGGCTGCATCTGTTTAAAGCGGATTTGTTGGAAGAAGGTTCGTTCGACTCCGTTGTGGAAGGTTGCCACGGTGTTTTTCATACTGCTTCACCTGTCCGTTTTAAAGTCAACGACCCACAGGTACTGATACTATTCTTTAAAATATTCAACCTCAATCTTTTACTCTTGGAAGGAAATATTATGCTCATAGCACTTTCCAATCAAACTTGTTTACAATTTCTTGAGCATTATTATTATTATTATTATTATGGTTGATAGATGATGTGATTCACTAAGAATTTCTTAAGCTGGATTTTTTTTTTCTTGTTTGCATTTTTTTTTTCTTGTTTGCATTTTCGTAACCTTCTCTAAAAAGATAAGTTGCCTGTTTGTCTGCTCTTGACCTTTGCTTTCGTTATTTCAGGCTGAATTGATTGATCCAGCAGTGAAGGGAACCCTTAATGTTCTCAAATCATGTGCAAAATCGCCATCTGTGGATCGGGTGGTCTTAACTTCTTCTATGTCTGCAGTTGCATTTAATCGAAGACCTAAAATTCCTGAAACAGTGATTGATGAGACTTGGTTTTCAGATCCAGATTTCTGTAGGGAATTAGAGGTTTGTGCTATTCTGCTAAAATTTATTATAAATGAAATTCCTGAAGCCCATGTAGGTGGAATATATGATTTTGATGTAGTTTGTCCAAAGTTGGGAACTGAATGGCATTTCTTTTTTTCTAAACAAAATTTATATATCTTACAACTACATGTGAGCTGCATAAATTATTACGCCGTATTATGGAAGTTGCATCTCTCTTTACTTTGGAAATAGTCCGTACTTATTCAGAGTCTTTATATATAGATGTTCTCACTATCAAAAAAATATATAGAGATGTTCTACACAACCTTAGAATTGGATAGTAAAATTATCAACCAAATTCACTTGTCAACCTTTTTAAATGTGGATTGGCACGTAATAATGTGGTTGATGATCGTTCTTCAACATTTTTGGCGCTTTGCCAGTATGTCAAATCCCTCATTGGCCAAATACCTAATTTATTTTATATTAAATCTCAATGAAGAAAGAGGAAGAGTACAAATTTAAGCAATAAGATTTCCTCCCTAAGATACAAGTATTACCAACATGGTTAGTTGATTTAGTTTGGCTAACTCCATTAGTTAGTGGCAAGTTCGGTTTAATGTAATGTGACTCTAGTGCTCATGATTTATTGTATAACACTTTTTATCATTCAATTTATTTTCAACTCGTCACTCTTATTTCAGTTTTATTTCCTTCGTATCATGTTTCCCCATGAGACCGATATGCATTATAAGGGAGAAACAAACAGTTAAGTAATAAATTTCCTCCCATTGAACCTCGGCCAATGTTACATAATAAAATGCCCTGACATCTTCGGCCTACAACCACTGCTGCTGTTACTGACTCCACTTTGACATTGCCACTACGAGTGTGCATGTACTACTGTAGTAGAGGAGATGAGCCAAAAAACTTTTTAAACTGTTTCAAGTTTCAAAATTATTCAACATCTGTTTAGTACTGTCAATCTTGTATTCAGTAGACAATAACTATTATGTTGTAAGTCAATTTCAAATGTTTGTTCCAGTATTAGTAAATTGTCTTCTAGAGTATGTTACCATGCTTCCTCATTTTCTTTCCATTTCTTATTTTTGTCTTCAGTTGTGGTACACGCTTTCAAAGACTTTGTCTGAGGATGCTGCCTGGAAATTTGTAAATGAAAACAACATTGACATGATTGTTATTAACCCAACAATGGTGGCAGGACCCCTCTTACAAGCAGAGATTAATGAAAGCGTTGAACCAATTTTGAACATAATAAATGGTAATTTTTATTTACTCTTGAATTGAAGGTATGCTGTATGAAAATTCTATTATCTCCTATTCCTGCATCTGGGACTCTGGCTTACATGTTGTTTTCCAACTGAATAGAGAAAAGGAAATAGAGAATATGGAAATGAAAAAGTAACTTCATAATTTACTGAAATATTCCAGTACTGTGAATTTGTCAATTATTTAATGCATGTACTCTAATCAACCAATTAATTGTTGCATTTCATTCTTCTAAAATAAAGACTTCACAAACTTATGTATATAACTAATAGTGTTGTTTTGTATGACTTCTGCTTAAGTTTTTTACTCATTTTAGTTAAGTGCCTTATTAAAATTAAGGAATCTTACTATTCGATACAAAATTACAATTCTTTATTCAAAAAATAACACGGCGATTTGAATCTCGATTTGAATCTGTTTGTTACTTTGGTTGAAATACTAATCGATTTGTTATGTGCGTCAAATAGATTCCGGATAAGATTTGACTTTTGCTTAATAAAACTAGGGACCATTTATATTAGAAAGAGAACTGATATTTTCACATCTGATTTTTAAAGTACATCTCAATAACAATTATTTTTTAATAATATAATATACATATATATAAAGGATATGTAAAGGAAATGATTAAAAATAATTATTATAATAATTAATCTGACTTGTTTAATGGATATTTGAAGAAAAAGGGTTGTCTATATAGTATTTTCCTATTAGAAAGTGTCGCTGGGAGAATTGAATTTATATACTTGCCAAACTAGCGCTAACTTTCTAACTTATTTAATGCAGGTAAACCATTTCCAAATAAATCTTCTGGGTGGGTCGATGTGAAAGATGTTGCCAACGCTCATATTCTGGCTTATGAGATTGCTTCAGCTACTGGAAGATACTGTTTGAGTGAGAGAGTCGTACACTACTCTGAACTTGTTAGGATATTACGTGATCTGTACCCTACGTTACAAATTCCAGACAAGTAAGTTTAATTTTATAACATGAATTCGAATCCCCATTTATTAAACTCCTTTTGTAGCACTCTCCTGGCTTGTTTGAAAATGAAAAGATTTTGTACTGAAATTGAATAAAGTTCCTGACAAGTATTTATAACAGAAAAAGTTAAGATGATAAACTAAATCAAACTTCTGTCGCAAGTGAACATCAATTTATGCATCTTAACATTTGAGTTTTGTTATCTAACTTCTCTAAAAGCTTAGTTACTGTTAGAATCATTACTTTCTATATTATCATTAGACCTAAGTATAGGGTGTTAAGTGTAGGAAACTTCCTACATCCTGCACCTAAGGTCCTAGTTGCAATCTCTTACTTAGTCTTCTATGTCTCATTATATTAGATTTTCCATTATAAATAGAAGAAAGGGAGAAGGATCCTGTGAGCCTTGAAGATATATTTTTTCTCTATTAATCTTAAGTTGGTATCAGAGCGGGTCAATCCCGCTTTGGTTTCTGTCTGGTCTTGTCCACCACCATCAGTCGCCATTGTTTGCGGCTGTCCACCATTAGCCACCACTGTCCGCGGCCGTCCAAGCTCAGTTTTATCACTATTTGAAACTATCCTCTGCTCTATTGGACTCTCCAACACTGTCAAGCATCTTTCATTCTCTGTCCGCCGCCTTCTGTCGCCGACAGCCACCATAGTTTCGTCCGGAAACCATCGGATCTGGACCGCCTCTCCGAGTGACAGCCATCCCTGCCAGCAGTTGAGGGGGGCCGTGCCCCCCTCCCCCCCAAAGTTTTGTAACTCCCATGTAATTTATGATTTTGGCCCCCCAAACTTAATGAACATTTAATATATTTACTTGTATATTTACAATTTTATCCTCTCAGTTTCTCCTTAACTTTCATATAATTTATGATTTATCTCCTCAAACTTAATGATCATTTAATATATTTAAGTATATATTTACTGTTAAGGTTCCAACATAAAACCAAACCAATTGACAATATGTGGAGTAGCCTAACATGTATTTAAACCATACCAAATGACATGAGGTAGGCAATGTGGGACTTTCAACACGCCCTCCTCCAACGGAGCCTGCCGGACCAGGCGAAGGGTACTTTTGACCCAACTAAAGGGCAACTTTTGGCCCATGACAATAATCGGAAAGATGTTAGGCTTTGACTCTGATACCATGTTAAGGTTCCAACATAAAACCAATTAGTGTTAGAATTATTATTAGTTAGTGGTTAGTGGTTAGTGGTTAGTAGTTAGTAGTTGGTGGTTGGTGGTTGTTAGTAGTTGGTAGTTGTTGTTTTAAATGTTGTAATCCTATATATATATATATATATGAGATCATAGAGTGGAGTAAGCATCCCACAAAATTAGAAATCTTCTTTTCATTCTCTTTACTCTCTTAACTTGGTATCAGAGTAGGTTGATCCTGCTCTACCTGTCCGGCCACCGTCCGATCATTTCCGGTCACCGTCCGACCATTTTTCGGTCACTGTCCAACCATTTTCCGGTCACCTTCCGGTCATTTTTCGATCACCGTCCGGTCATTTTCTGATCACCGTCCGGTCACTTTTCAGCAACCGTCAGTCCCCCGTCCAATCACCTTTTTTTTTTTGCTGCCATTCGACGACTTTCCGACCACCTTCCAGTAACCTTTCGGCTATCTTGGGTGTTCTCTTTCTTAGAGGTTCCATTGTCTCCATCTTACATCTACATTATTTAAAACATGTCGTCAGGGCCCATAACCTCCTTTTTCGGAACTCCCACGATAACGGCTGAGAAATTAAATGGAAAAAATTACATGTCTTGGTCCTCTTCAGTGGAACTTTGGTTCCTTGGACAAGGGTTTCACGATCATCTAGAAGAAGACGGAAGTAAGATACCAGAAGATCAGGCTCAACAATGGAAAAAGCTTGATTATCAATTTTGTGCTCTACTGTGGCAATCAATAAAACCAAATATTTTGAACACTCTCAGATCCTTCAAAACATGTAACTCTTTCTGGAAAAAAGCTCAGAATATCTTTGCAAATGATATCCAACGCCTCTATGATTCCGCTAATCGATTAGCCTCTCTCAAGCAAGTGAGTAAAGATATGATGACCTTTATTGCTGAAGTTCAATCAGCAGTTGAAGAATTAAAGATGTTCCTAGAGGTGGATTCGTTAGAGGAGATAAAACAAAAGTTGGATAAATTCTATATGGTTATGACTCTCTGAGCTATGAATTCAGAATTTGATCATGTTAGAGATCAAATTTTAACTGGACAAGAAGTTCCTTCTATGGAAAGTTTGACTACAAGATTGCTTCGTGTTCCAACTCTCAAAGAAAAAAATAATCAAGAACTTGTTGAATCTTCTACTATGATTTCTACCCATGGAAGAGGAAGTCGCGACACTAGAGGAGGACGTGGAGGTAGAGGACGTCCTCAGTGCACTCATTGCAAGAGAATGGGTCATACAGTGGAAAATTGCTACTCTTTGCATGGTTTTCCTGATAAAACTGTCAATTTTTCCAAATCTGAAATGGTTCAACCCAAGTTCTCGCACGAAGAATATCGAGGAATATTTGAGGTTGAAATCCGAGTAATCTAGCACGAGTCATCAACAACCCCAAATTCATCAACGACTTGCATTTCACAATCGTGGAAAGTCAAAATCCATGGATTATTGACTCAGGTGCTTCGATCACATGTCCGGTAATACCTCTTTGTTCTCTTCTCTCTCATTTCCTAAAACTCCTCATCTCATAACCTTAGCCAACGGATCTAAAGTAACCTCTAAAGGAACTGGTCAAGTCTCCATTTCTCCGTCTTTAAACTTAAAATTTGTTCTTTTTGTTCCTTCATGTCCCTTCAGTCTCATTTCCCTAAGTCAATTAACCAAATTATTGAATTGTTCAGTAATCTTTAATGCCAACTCTTTTGTTACACAGGAACGTGGTACGGGTCGACAGATTGGCGAAGGACATGAATCTGGAGGCTTATACTACCTTGGGACTAAATCATCTGTATCTTGTGTTGCATCCTTGTCTCCAAAACTATTACACGAACGGTTAGGGCACCCTCACTTATCAAGATTAAAAATAATGGTCCCTGAACTTCAGACTCTTCAAGATTTTGAATGTGAATCATGTCAATTAGGGAAACATATTAGGTCCTCTTTTCCTAAACGTTCTGAATCTAGATGTGACTCTGTCTTTTCTCTTGTTCATTCTGATATTTGGGGTCCTAGTCATGTCTCATCCTTTGGCTATAGATATTTTGTTATCTTCATTGATGAGTTTTCTAGGTGTACTTGGATTTATCTAATGAAAGACCGTTCTGAATTATTACCTATCTTTAAGTCTTTCCTTAACGAAATCAAAAATCAATTTGGAAAAGTAATCAAAGTTTTACGAAGTAATAATGCCAAAGAATACTTTTCTACTGATTTCTCTACTCTCTTAAGTTCCCAAGGCATTTTACACCAGTCTACTTGTCCTCACACACCACAACAAAATGGTATAGCAGAACGAAAAAATAGACATTTGGTTGAAACTTCTCGTACCTTATTACTTGGTGGAAATATTCCCGTTCATCATTGGGGAGATGCTATTCTTACTGCATGTTTTCTCATTAACAGAATGTCATCTTCTTCTCTTAACAATAAAGTTCCACACTCTATTCTATTGCCAAAGGACCCACTCTTTCATGTTTCTCCTCGTGTATTTGGTTGCGTATGTTTTGTTCATGATATGTCTCCAGGATTAGATAAACTATCAGCTAGAGTCATCAAATGTGTCTTCTTGGGATATTCTCGTCTTCAAAAAGGATATCGATGTTATTCTCCTGAAACCAAGAGGTACTACATGTCTGCTAATGTCACTTTTTTTTGAGTAAACTCCCTTCTTCCCTTCTTCTATGCAGGATATTAGTTCGGTCCAAAATGTCCTACCTATACCCTTAGTGGAGCCATTTGTACCTCCTCCTCCTAACACCCAAAATTCCACACAAAATACACCGGAATCCTCATCACTGCCTCTTATTACCTATCAACACAGAAGCCAAATGATCAGTCCCATGTCCCAAGATGAGTCTTCCTCAGCAGATCCTTCTCAATCATCTCCTGATACCACGATTCCTGATAATGATGACTCAAGTTGACCCATTGCCATTCGTAAAGGTACTCGCTCTACTCGTAATCCACATCCCATTTACAATTTTCTTAGCTACCATAGATTGTCTCCTTCCTATTTTTCTTTTGTTTCTTCTGTATCCACTGTTACTATTCCAAAAAATGTGAAAGAGGCACTTGATCATCCTGGATGGCGACAAGCCATGATTGATGAAATGCAGGCTCTTGAGCACAATGGTACATGGAACTTAATTCCTCTTCCACATGGGAAGAAGACTGTTGGTTGTCGTTGGGTCTATGTCATTAAAGTTGGACCAAAAGGTGAAGTTGATCGACTGAAAGCTAGATTAGTAGCAAAAGGCTATACTCAGATCTATGGCCTTGATTACAGTGATACTTTTTCTCCTGTGGCCAAAATGACTACTGTTCGACTTTTCTTTGCTATGGCAGCTATCCATCATTGACCTCTTCATCAGTTAGATATCAAGAATGCGTTCTTGCATGGTGATCTTGAGGAGGAAATTTATATGGAGCAACCTCCTGGTTTTGTTGCTCAGGGGGAGTCTAGTTTGGTTTGTAAGTTACATCGTTCTCTCTATGGTCTCAAACAATCTCCACGTGCTTGGTTTGGAAAGTTTAGTCACATTGTTCAAAGTTTTGGATTAAAACGAAGTGAAGCATATCATTCTGTTTTTTATTATATTGCTTCAAAAAAATGTGTTTATTTAATTGTATATGTAGATGATATAGTCATTACAGGGGATGATGTTGATAAAATTTCTTTGCTAAAGAAACATTTATGCAATCACTTCCAAACTAAGGATCTTGGTTGTCTCAAATACTTTCTAGGGATTGAAGTGACTCAATCAAAAGAAGGCATCGTAGTCTCCCAAAGAA